TGAGAGTGAGATTTTACAAGGTGCAGTATTCTGGGATTGAAGTCAATATGATATGTTATATCCCTAACACATTTCTGTCCTGAAGCACCTCCTTATTTCTGCAAGAAGGGATTCTGTAGGGAGGTGCTCTCCTTTGCACAGTCCCTGTGGCCTGGAAATCCACAACTTGTCCCTCCTTCCCTGGGGGCTTCACTCAAGGCTCTGCTATAACTGTTTCTAAATGCAAGTCTTGTTTTTCGCTTGCTGGGTTGTGGAACAATGTGATGGAGAACAGGGTTTGTGCATTGGCAGCCACCCTGACCCCACAGACTGCACTTCTGATGGCAGCCAGAGCATGGAGGACTGAAATCAGAGGCTGGGGGAAAAGGGGTGTGCTTGCCTGTGGTATCCCTGTTTTGGGGAACATGGGCAACTCTGACTCCCCCCAACTCAGCACAGCAACAACATTATCCTCACAGAGAGGAGAGGGTGATCGAGGGTGGGAGCTTTGCCCTTGTTACAGTATGGGGCTGGTTGCTGTGGGCAGTGAAGTGATATAAGGGGCAGGTCTCCCAGCAGAGAAATTAATTTCATATATTATGAAAAACCTGCATTCGGCTCACCCTCTGTGCTAGATACATCAGTTAGCCAGCTGCATGGCAAGGCATTTTCCTCTTTCATTACAGTATTTACACTACTTCATTACAGTAATTACATCTCATAACACTGCATAATTTTGCCCCACCATAAAATATAGGACAGCAGATTAGATCGGCCTTGTTCTGTACTGGCAGATCTTGCGAGCTGAAAAATTACAGGAAAATTTACAGCTAGATGATAGTAAGAAATTAATGCAAATTTTAGGTTTCCCAATGCCCACAAAATCTCAAGAGAAGAAAAGGGGGCCATTTTAGATTCAGACATCAAAGTTCAGCAAGTGTTGAAATATTGGTAGGAGATCAGAAATTGGTCCAGATGGCTGAGGGCAGAGGTCAGCCAAGTGCGCCTGAAACCCTGCAACTTAAACACAGTAAGTGGGGCTTTGGGATGGGCCTGTGTTTCTTAGAGGATTTTAGAGAAAAGTCTGTCCTTCATTTTGACAATTAAGAAAAACCAAAACCCAAACAAAAAAACCCCACAAGTGCAGGGTAAAGAAAAGCAGCAATGTAGTTTATTCTCTCACATGTTACACTGAGTACAGAATTTGCTATTACTGACACAAGCAACAATACCTTACCGGCCATGTTGGGTTAAATCCCTTGGAGATGGTGGCCGTAACAGCTGCTTCCACTCAGGGTCACTGCAAAGAAGCGAGTTGCAATGTGTAATAAAAGAACTGAAGCAATGTTTACCTCCTCCCCAAATGCCGGCGTGCACTGTCGGAGGTGCCCTTTCCACGCCATACGCCCAGCAGAGTGTGTTGCCTTTAGGTGCTGCTGGCACCGTGGGCAGGGTGGGCTGTTGTGCCTATAGCCCCATGGCCACATGACCTCGATTCCCTTCTGTGTAGGAAGGCACATCCCACAGTCGGATGGGTTTCACTGTCAGAGGAGGGCATCAGGACATCAGGACATCAGGATGCCTGTGTCTGAGAGGCCGAGAGCTCTGAGGAGGGAAGCAGCAAAGGTGCACCAGGCACGGGGTTAGAGTAGGCAGAGACATGCATGCAGGCATCTTGGGGACACCACACAGTGTACATCCTTCTGGACTCTGTGAGGACTGGAAGAGGCTTAGGGATGTGACATGGGGAGCCTGGGGTTTGAAGACCACTTGTCTTTTGTGTCTGTACTCATCTGTTGCTCATCAGGTTAGGGCTCGCTCTTCTCCCGGCTTGGTTGTTACATATATGAATTGAGCTGAGTACTAGTGACCTGGTCATTTTTAGGGATTCTCATTTTTGCTGAAAAGCTAATAAAGATAGCCTGGCCTGTTGTATGAGGCCATATCCGTGTTGCATTCAAAAGGGTGACCGCAGGACCAGAAGCACCAAGGCTGAAGACCGATGGCCCCTTTATTTAATCAGATAGATTGCCAGCACTGACATCCGTGACATAGCATTAAAATAGACATGGGCCAGGCTGGGTTAGTGCTGATTTGGGTATTTCTGTGCGAATCAGCAGATGCTGGATGACCGGGGCCGTTTTCAAAACAACCTCATTGGGTCCCTCTGCAGAAGGAGTTTGTTCCCTGGCTGGAGATTTGGATGAGCATCTGGGACTATCTAGGGAGAAGACAACCCAGATGGTGATGTGGGGCAAAAGGCAGTTCTCAAAGTATCCAGTGCTCAAATCATGTTGCATTAATGTGTAAAACTGTCAACCTCTAGTAGAGCACTTGGAAGAAAGAAGGAGAGAGAAGAGGCGTACAGAGAAAAGGTCCAGCATGGTCCTTCACTGCAAGCAGTGAAAAGCAAATGTCCCCTCTTCATGGTGGGGAGATGCCAAGCAATTCATTAACTGAAAGACAGATATCTGAACTATTCAGCAAACTCTCAAAAATTCTGGCTTTGTTTGTATTTATGGAATTTATAAAAAAAGACTGTATTTATTAAAAGGCACTCTGCAAAAAATTTGCAAAGAGAAAAATATGGTAGCTAGATGAACAAATGCTTCATCACACCTTATCTTTGTTCACTGAATTTCACGAACTGGCTTTTGTGGAGGTGTTTGCAGTGCAGAGAGCTAAGCTGCTGCACAAAGCTTTGTGGGAAAGAATCTTCACCCGCAACCCATGAAGCCAGGGACTGCTTCTCGTTATTAATTGTGTAGGCTGCTGGGACCTCATCTTGGCAGAGGCCTTGTGGCATGACTACAAATAACAACAGCTGTAAATAACAATTAGCTGTAAACTGTATGCATCTCAGCTTTGCTAGAAAAAAACCCCTCACAACCAACAAACAGCAAACTCGTAACTGCTGGGAGTAAGAACAACAGGAACATTTCATTTTTTTAAGCTAAGCCTGGAAAATGCTTGGAGTCAAACAAAATTTTGTATCACTAGTATTTAATTTCCACTGGTTTCACTCTCTACAGAAAGATCTTTCCATGATGAACATAAATGATTGCCAGTTTGGCATATATATTTTTTGTTAGCTGTATGGCGTGTATATCTGGAGAACAAAGTAACTCCACGTTGCACATGTATATACTCTCTACTCCTATTTATGTTAATTTACATCCTTTCAGTTTACAGCAGCATAGCTCACTGTGGTCCTTCATAAAAATTTATAAAGCAGAGGACATGAGAGTGTAGGAGTACTTTGGCAATCCTAAAAATGCAAAGGCTTTATTAGCATTTACCAGTCATCCCTGTCAGTGTCACTTCTAAATGTTACGATCGGCAAGTAAAGGGGAAAGATTAATTTTTGGATTTGCACAGGATGGTGCAGTTTCAAACTCCTCATACAGCCCAGACTGGATTCCAGTGATGTAGAGGTCTTTGGTCAAGTCCCTCCATGAAGAGAATTTTACCCTAAAAGACCAAGTTGCATGTCTATGAAGCAGATTAATTGGATGTGATTGGACTTAAACAAAACAAAAGAAATATTTGCAAGTTCAGCCATAAGTCAGGATTTCTCTGTACCCTGATAGGATTATTGTTGTTTCTTTGTTGTCTTGTTGCTTTGCTTTGTTGTTGTTGCTAGCTCCAGAGTTCCTGGAAGATCTTTAACACATGTTCAGTGAGCGCTTATGCCTTTATTCCAATTCAGAGGAGCACTTGTCTATGGATCTTCACCCCTAATCAGCCGCTGCATGTCCCTGAGGTGACATTGCCATTGTCACGCCATGCCACACCATTGGGATTCACACACACGCATAGCTCTGGCCAGCTTTACTCCACTAGTTCCTCAGAGGAAGCACGGCTGAACTATTTACATTCTTTGCAGAAATGCCTGTTAAGAAGTGGTTGAAGCTGAGAGGTTCAGCAAATAAAGGAAATTCTGGAGACCTCCAAGTACCTTTTTCTGTGGTATGTTGTGACTGCAAATTCTCTCTCCTCAAACCATTCATTTTGCTGCAAAGCTCACATCCGCTCTACTGATAACATGATGAAAAGTATCTTGAGTCATGTTTCCAGAGAATCATCATCAATTAGATTCCCCCCAGCCTGACTATTCATCCTTTTCTCTTCTGCTCATGCAGATGTTGCCCCCCATCAGCCTTTCCACAGTGGTAAGACTGATTGCAAATGCTCCTTACATAAATATTTGTGCTGGAAAAACAGGCAGTACAAATGACTTGACATTACTGAAAAAAGATGATGTCATGTAGACTGTTGTGCCAGGATGGGGCAAAATGGAGTCAGTCAGGAGATCGCCTCAAGTCTGATGCTCCTCTAAAGCTTCCTCAAAAATGAGCTCTGATTTTCAGCCTTTCATTTTAGGTAGAGACCTGGTGGATAATAAGGTATTTCTGAGAGATTAATAATGCCAGTACCCACCAGTCATATTTCCCTGCAGCAATGCCTCTACCTTTGCCCAAATCCCCTGGGCTGCTGCTGCTGTTGAAATGAAATGCTTCCTTTCTCTCAAGGAATAGATGTTGCTCCCACTGTAGATATTCACCTTTCTGGGGGTCTGTTTGCAGGATAAGGTTCTGCTTTTTCAGTGTGCTGCAGCCGTTCTCAAACACTGACAACCTCCTTGACAAAGAAGGGCACTTTCAGCCCCCGATGCCAACCTCTCCTGCTCCAGCAAATACATCTGTTAAGAAAAGAAATGCTATCAGCAGGGCAACAGGTGGCATATTGCAGCCAATTGCAAAAGGTTATAATAAGACAGAGGGAGCGCGTGCAAGAGAGAGAGGAGAAAAAATGAAGAAGAGAGGGACTAAGCTGAAGGAAAATCCAGCCACAAACATTTTTCCCACTACTGTGCTTACTCAGTGATGAAATAAAGGCCTGATGACTTTGCGGCGCTGGTGTAGGGTACTGCCTTGGAAATGCGTTTGCCCATTGTACTCCCCTCTGTTTGCTTAGAAGGAATTCAGAAGGGATTTGCTTTCTCTTGTTTCACGAGCCCCACGCTTTCACACTGACCGAAGTGGATACGCACCAGCTGGCCATGTCCATCACCGCTGCCGGGTGGGAGAATTCCTGATTATACTTAGATCCTGCAGACCCCGCTCTGTCATTAGTGGAGAAGCTCTGCTTGTGCAACCGCCGTCTGAAATGCAGCCGCTCGGGAGCTCCGCACACCTCGCCTGAAGGAGCCGGATGCCTCCTGGATCAAACATGAATGACCGGCTGAAGGTGCCCCTGGTGCACGTCCTCACCCTGGCAGCCCTCAGCTTGGCCGAGACGCTCCCCAAAGGTTTGCTCAAAGGGGCAAAAAGCCCTGCTCTGCTGAAGGGGGTTTTGCAATGGAGAAGGCATCTCTGGTAACAGTGGGGTGGGTGGGGTGGTAGCGTTGCCGGAAAGGACAAAAATGTGCTGCTTTCGGTGGTCACTTCACTGCTTTTAACAGTGAAAATGATCTCATGTTTGTGCTTGGGATTGAAGGTTCTTTGTCCGGGAAGAACATGTAGTCCTGTTGTAATAGGACCTTTAGGTTCAGCCTGGGTGGGATGGACATTTCTCATGTCAAAGGCAGCGTGTGGGTTTTAATGGCTGGTAGCACCCGTTGCTGCAGAGACCAAGATCTGTGGTGTTCTGCATGCCTACGTACCCCTTTTAAATATATAAAGCTCAAAGAAGTAGTAGATAGCTGTAACGTTGTTACAGAGTGTATGTACATAACTACAAATATGACTGGTTTGCACAGCACATAATATAAAAATTATTATATGTTCTTCCTCTCTCGTGTGCACACACGCACACGTACATTTAGCCAACACAAGAACTGAAAAAAGTCTGTTTAGAAAAGTGTTTGAGTTACAAAGTGCAACAGTGGTTCTTCTGGATGTACCACCTGGTAACCCTGCGGACAGAAGATTTTGCTGCATGGTGATTGTCAGGAGCCATTCAGAGCATACCAGAAACTTCACAGCTTCAGGAAAACAAAAAGAAAAAACCTCAAGGAGGATGACAGTATTCACCTGTTAAGGCCAACACTGCTGCTCTTGCAGGTCTGTGCTCCTACAATTGTAAGCCAGGTTGGCCTCAAAATGGAAAGGAAAAAAAAGGTCTTTTTTTAATCAAAAACTTTTGAAATTAAAATGTTAATTCTTTTCCTAAGGCACTAAAGTAATTAGGTGAAACCCAGTCTTTTTGAGAACTGTGGTATGATGAGATTGGAAGGACAACAAAAACAAAGAGAAAGGGGATTGATCCTTTTTTCCTGGTGGTGCGGTGCAATGGAAACATACACATCCCTTCCTAAAACCTCACAGGTGGCTGGATTACCTTGTTCCCCGAGAGAGGCAGAAACACAACTACGTCCCAGCAGTGTCCTGTAGAGGCTTTGCAGCATCAGCTGGAAACGCAATTTAGCTTTTTTTGACCAGAGGACCTGCAGTATCTCCAGGTGTTTACATTACTGCAGGGAAGGCGAGCTCTTTTTTCTGCTTGGTTTTGTTTGCCTGGCTTCTCTTGTTTCGAAAGAGAGAATCCAAAGCCAAAGCCAAGCAATCTGGGAGCTTCTGGTGGTCTGGGGATAGAAGGGGATTTGGCTTTCCAATGGGCCCCGTGACCAGCCTTGGGTCATTTGGCTGTCTCAGGAAACTGCAGCTGACACCCAGAAAAATGGCACCTGTGTAGCTTTACAGATGCGTAAGTTAATTGATTTTCAGTGTTATTTAAAGCCACAGGGTTACCTAAAAAATGCCAGTGAGCCCCAATGGATGCACATGGGAAGGTCTGGGGTCGTTTCTATATGCTGATAGATGTCTGTATGTTGTACACGTCCATATGTTGTACACGTCCGTACATTTTAATGTACATGTTAAAACCTAGTAATGAAGGCATCACAAGTTTTGATTGCTCTCCTGAGAAAACACGGACCAACACCGACACCTGAGCTTTTTGGGCGGCTTTTAGAAGCAGGCACCACCTCAGCCATTTTGGGGCTCTCTCGCCGCCTCACGACAAAATGGCGGTGCCCTCGCTGTGCCCTGTCAGAGGACGCACGGCGCGTCCTCTGGCCTCCTGCCCTCAGCCCCCTCGCCCTGCTGCAGGAGCACGGCCTTCACCTCCCTGCTGGCCCAGCACTTGGTTCTAGTACCAGAAAGGTAAAAAAGAGCGTATGAGAAAATGACACTTTGCTGTTTGTTGTCATGGGTGCTCTTCGAGGATGCTTCAGGGAAGCAGCTGTAAAGAACAAAACTTCCCTTTCATCTGTTAATATAGGTACATTGCTGTTAGTTTGGACAGTATTTTCTGTGAGTATGATACTTGATTCTGCCCTAAGAGATGGCTTTCAGGAGACGGCAGATCAGACCCCCTGTTGGCAATATTCCTAAGGATAATTCTGTCATACATTGAACTAAAGAGATACCCTGACTGTTGCTAGTGAATTCAATTAATATATAAAACCGACAGCCCTTGTTTGCCCAAAGAATAAAATACTGTTGTTACGCATACTGGCTCTTGGTACAAATCTGACTTTATTCTTTGTGAGAATGGCCATGTTTATCGTGACCACACAGTTATAAAACTGATTGCTTTGAATTTTGGTTACTACAAAAATTTACATTTCTCAGGGTTAAAAAAGCATCCTTCCAGACATCAAGGCATGTGGACAACAGCAATAAAAACATACTATATAAAATTAGATTGTAAAACGCCTTTTCAGCCAGGCTTAATGCCATCAAAACCCAATAAACTCTGTCACGAAATAGCAGCGTCCCCTTTGAAGTAGATAGGATAGCCATCGGTGGAGGTTATTCTCCTCAGACAACCTTCAGTAGCAGGGAAATTTAGGCTTTATGGAAATCTTCCATTCAGTTTCACTGGCGTGGGATTCATCTAGGGTGCAATATGGATGATTACTTCTATCTGGGGTGACCCAAAATCCGGTATGTTGAAACTTGGTACAATTTGAAGCAGTGATCTTAAACAATGAATCTGACACAGATGCGTTCTCACTAGTTTAGTTAATATAATCTTTAGTGCTACCTTAGCAGTAGTTTTAAGATCTTTTAATACAAGTATAATCACTACCAATTATGCAATCTAAAGTGATATAATCTAGAAATATTATTGAGGCAACTTTGTTCTAATGACATTTCAAAAGCGCTAGGACATTTACATAAACCTGATAGTGGAAGCCGATCCTTTCATCCTCCAGCCTCATTCCAGCTGAACTCCAATGACATTCTAATTTTTACTCCTATGTAAATTGAAAAAGTATTACGGTAAAGGCTTTCTATTATTCTCAGTCACTGACACCAGAGTGTCTTGTATTTCCCCCCCCTTTTCTTTTCTTTTTCGGAGGGAGGGGTAAAATGGCTGTAGTTTATTTTTTGCTTTAATTTAAACCTTACTGTACTGAGGTGGGTTAGCAGGTACAGCGTGGACAGGATTTTCCTGTGAAAGACTCACAGCACGCCAGATACTGCTGCAGTCAGCGAGGAACAGGAAGATTCCTGCATCCGCTGTACGTTTTCAAGGTGCTGTTTCAGGAACATGGTATGAAACTAGTTCATCTCAGCACAGCTGTCAATGATATCCACTCCAACAAATATTGCATGTGTGTCCCTTGCAGGCTTAGATTAAAAGTCATCCAAGTGCCTTCAGAGGCAATGGCTGCAATGCATACCATGCGCAGGGAAAGCGATTCACTAGGCATATCCTCTGATCCCTTCCAGACATGCTTCAAGTCTTTTACCAGGGCGACGGAAAATGTTTCTAAACATACATTCGAATAATGTGTGATGACAGGTCTGTGATAATAAGCATCAGACACAGCTATTAGACTTCCAACCCTGGCACTACTTGGTTAGAAAAGGTGAGAAAAAGAGAGTGTGTGCTAGTCATGCCACAAATCTGGAAGGCTTGAACGGCCTTTACAAGCCTGGCTTTGAAAAATATAGTGGTATATAACAGTGATTTTTTTAAAAAAAGATAAATAGTTGAGTGGAACAAATCCCATATTAATGAGAAAGAATCCCAAATCCCCCACTCCAGGGGAAGGTCAGCTTGGCTTCAATTTGTGGTCTGTTCCTTGCACTTCCTCTGCGCTGGTGAAAAAGCCATGGAGTGACCCTGCAGAGACAAGGCTGCCTCTGCCAAAGGGGTCTGGCAGGCTTCGCACCTCTCTCCAGGAGGCACTGGGAGTGTTTTCTCATTTTCCCTTCCTTCGTGCAGCTCCCTTGATCAGCACTCCTCTGGAAACTGTGGATGCGCTGGTAGAGGACGAGGCCAAGTTTGTCTGCGTAGTGGAGTCGTACCCTGAGCCGGAGATTACGTGGACACGCAACAGCATTCCCATCAGGTAGGGAACAGCCCCAGCCCTCTCCAGCATCTCCTGCCAAAACCCTCAGTGCTTTCCTTCATGATAAAGGCAGTATCTGGAAACATCAAAATGGGTCTGTGGCAGGGAAGAAGGTGGGTGGCTGTAATTATATAGGAATCCATGATCCTTAGGGACTGATGGAAGCACCTGGGGGGGTGCTCTTGCAGCTTCACGCACTGGAGCTTGGAGACAGTTGGCTTCTGCTGCAAGCAATACAAGGAGTTTTCTCTCCAGCTTCAGATTTCCAGAGAAACAACACAATCTGCTCTGTTTCTCAGTTTACACATATACAATACTATATAATATTTAAAAAAGCATTGCCAGACTTTTTGCCCTAGTGTCTGCAAGGTACATGGAGACTTTGCATGGAAGGAGTCATATCATGCCATTCTTGTTTGCTTCTAGTTCGGGATCTGGCCATAGGAAACTGGCTTCTCGTTGTCATGCACTGTCAGGTGTTAATCACTGGGTATCAAGGCACTGCTGATGAAGGCAGCCTTGGAAACATGTTATAGAAGTTGCTACCACTGCTTTAGCTCTGTTGCTGTAGACAGGGTCTTGCAAAGAAAACCGTACCTGTTCTTCCAACTCTGAAATCACATTATGTCTGCCACATGGCTTCACATCTGTTTCTCATTCTAGATAACTGTTAGTGAGTCCCTCTGTAAGGGAAAATTACAGAACAGTCTCTGTGTAACACAGTTAAGGCCCACTCTCCACAAGAGATGTCCATGTCAGACAGACATTCACCTGAAGCACTGTTCCTGCTATTCGGGTCAGGCATCCAAAAAGCTCTTGAACCATTGGCTTGGGAGATTCCAAATAAATCATCAGCAGCAAGAGGTCTTACTGTTAGGAAGACCATTTTAGAACAGGAGGACAGCAGAATGCTACACATATGCATCCTGACTTTCAGAAATCTTTTCTTCATTGCTTGCCACAGGACCTCAGCAAAACCCCGGTCCTAACCCTCTGACCCTGGCCTTGTTGCAGGATGGAAGTCTGAGTATCTATGGATGCCATTTCCAAATCAGGTCACCTTTCTTCTAATTCCTTTTCCATCGGTGACACCATGCCTGAAAATCAAAGCTGGGAGAGGAAGCCATTCATGCAGGACCATGGAGACCACACGTCTTTCTCTCCCCATGGTCTTTAAAATTTTACTCTGTGTTCTAAGACTGTATGAAAAACAGATTGTTTCTCATCCCGTTTCCCACTTCCTGAAGCCCAACACACCTTTCTAAAAGCCATCCAACTTTCTCTGAGACATAATGCCTTTTTCATAACATTGACCAAAAAGGAAAATATTGATCAAAAAAGCTCTGCTGGTGAGGCCAGAGAGCTCAGGTGCTTTGTTCCTTTACTGGGGCTTCTGGAGCAATATGAATAGCAGCAACTATTTCACTTTCCCAAAGCTGTGCTGGCTTTGATAGTCAGTGGTGCTAGATACAAAAGCTTTGACCAAAGTCAGGGAAATAGATAAACTGAAAATATTTCTGTTACTTTCCAAAAACATGTATGCAAGTATTTCCAGAATGGAAAAGGATCAAATCAGTGGATTTTTTTTTTTTCTGAAGAAAAAAGACAAATATATTTCTGTGCATCTGTGTGTGTATGTATCAAACTTCAAAGGGGCTAGTTATTGCAAGCAATAAATATCAATTATTTTATTGACAAAATTTTCTTCCCTTGCCAAGGTCCCAGCATCCTGAACAGAAAACTAAGCTAACCTTCAAAACAAAACAGTATGTAAACATTCAGCTTCGACGGGAATAGTGCCAGGACAGAGGATCTTGTCAGCACTAGTCTTCTGCAAGTGCCTTTCGTTTTGGTGTCAAAACTTGTGCAAGTGGGCTGGCAGGTTCCCTGTGCCGAGTGAAGTGATTACCTGCCTCCTCTCCCAGGACAGGGCTGCCCAGGGTGAGCCTTCCTCAGGGAAAGAAGGGAATGCAGCCTGCACATCTTTTACACCACGCATGAGTACACTGTACTCTTTCTTCCCAGAGAGAAAAAAGAGGGGGGAGATACAAGACTGAAAGTTGAAAGGCTGTTAAAAGGAAATATGTGCCTGTAACACCATAAATGACACATTCAGACTGTGCATTGCCTGTGGTACGATTTTAACAGTAAAAGAAAAACCAGGATGTACTTAGGCATTGGGCCTTTGTAATAGCTTGGGAGACAATCCTCAGGTCAGATCGTTTTCACCATTGTTCATCAGAATCAAAAGCCAATTGCATTAAAGTGATTCCAAAAAGCGTCAGTGAAGATTTGAAAATCAGACATGAAGGAATTTATGAAATGTTATGCAAATCTTGTTCCACTGAAGTTTTACTGTACTTTTCCAGTTTTGCAATGAAAATCAGAGATCAGCCCTCTGCTTTCTCATCACCTTTCTTTCTGTCCCTCCCTTGCTCTCACACACATACACACACCCACACACATGCACACCGCATGCTGACATATAGAATTAGTCTTTGCTCCACAGACTTTGTTACAATATCCCATACCTTTGTTGCTCCAACTTTAGCGCTTTTCTTGACTTCCCTAAAACCTGCTGTCATTAAACTACAGGTATCCTTACATCCTGTATTCTTTAGATACAAATTTTTTTCTTCAGCAGATTTCTTAGCTTGTTTGTTGGGTTGTTCCACCCCCATCCTCAATATAACACTTCTGTAGTTCCAAAAAATAGAGAAAACCACAAAAATACTTGTTTTTTGGTTTGCATGTTTTTACAACATTAAAAAACCTTCCATAAAATTATCTGTTTAGTATAAAGCCATATTATTTTGTTAAATTGAAGAAGTTTTCTTTAAAAAGCTTCAGCCAGTTCCAGTTTCTATATAGGTAGTCCTTCCCTTGCACTGAGTGTCTATATCTAAAACAGGACCCAGCTGGATAAGATCACTTGTGCTCATGCCTGTCCTTGGCCAGATGGAAACCTGTTACACCTACGTAGTTTACCAATACCTGACTGAAGGAAGAATTGCCACCATGCTGCTGTCAGTCAGGAGCTGCATGGTCTAGAGAGGAGCAAAATGAATCTCAAGGCCCAACAACATTTTCGGTGTACTCCCTTCTCTTTGCAGGTAGAAAATAAATAGTGAAACACGTTGCCATTTGTAGTGCCATCAAGTGTTGTGCAGATACAAATGCAATTCCCCCTCTCTGTCCTTGGCTGTCCCCTGACAATCTGTACTGTGCCCTGCAGGCTGTTTGACACCCGGTACAGCATCCAGAGGAACGGGCAGCTCCTGACCATTCTGAGTGTGGAGGACAGCGATGACGGGGTGTACTGCTGCACGGCGGATAACGGGGTTGGAGCAGCTGCACAGAGCTGTGGGGCTCTCCAAGTGAAAATGCGTAAGTGGGAACATAATTTTTTCCTGACACCACATGAATGTGTAATTGAGAGCCCGAGCAGGGCCCCAGGTATGCCCCCCCAGGGTCTGTGTTCAGCGCAGACCCCGGTTCCTGTGGCGCTGGGTGCAGCCTCTTGAGGCAGAGACACGACACTTTGGATCATATCTTACCTAAAAGCAGCTGTGATTATTCACTTTGAATAACACACACTTGTGCTAGGGGGAACTGTTTTCACAACAGAGGATAAAAAATGATGCTTTGAAGAACACCCTTAGTACAAAACTTGTTACACCTACGTGTACAATTGTACAATTTGATAGATTAGACCTCCATAGCAATACTGCATAAATCCCTTGTGAATTTTAAACATAAGATTTCACTAATCTGATTTATGCCTGAGGATGGCAAAAGCCAGTAAATGCTGTTCAGATGTTCTTAATAGCAATCTTGAAAGGTCTGGAGCACTGCAGTGTAAATCTCATCATCTCATGTGGAAGGCAGGGGACTGGTTCTTGCAAACGGCTATGTATGTGCTGAGCTTGGTGAAGCTGAACTCAGATGGCTGCAGTTATTTACACAAACACTTCAAAGGGCAGCTGAGATACATCCTGGCTAAAGCATCTGTTTGTAGGAAAGGATTTGTTTGTGCTAATGAGCATGACCCTCCAGGTCTGGTAATTCTGGGGCTCTCCAGCACCCCATTTGCCTGCAGGTGGGGGCCAGAAGGTGATGCTCTCTGAAGGTTTTTTTTCCTGCTGGTTCAGTGTTATGCAAGGGAGGCAAAACTTCAGATCTCCCAAAACACTGGGATGAAGACCTTTTTTAGTCACAGCTCAGAGTAAGCTAAGCCATGTTTCTCCTTGAGTAAAATGCATTAAAATTTGTCCCCTATTAAATTTAAGGGAGCTTAACTGTTTTTTCTTAAAGGATCTTTTTTTCCACTTTTTACTAACACAGTTATAAATCCTTCAATTAGGGACATTAACTGAGTTTACTTGCCCTTCTTGTTGAGCTAGAGACAAGTCTGGGTTAAAACTATTTCAAAATCAACTCACTCTAGATCGAGCTTTCACAGAAGAAACTGTTTATTCAGTGAAGAATGTCAAAACCTGGAATGCAAACGTTCTTCAATATTGGAAATACTCTTATCTGGGTTTGGATTTTAGCCCAGGCCCTAATTCAAATGACAGTCAAACTCCACTCCTGAAAATAAATAACCATGCAAGTTAGCTGCTTTTGTGTCCATAAACTGAAACTCTGAATGCTGTATACGAGAAAGTTTTTTCTTTCCAAGGCAGCTCACAACCTGCTAAGACCGCTCTGTCTTTCAGCAATGCACAGAAAAAGCAACAGAGTTTTTGTTGTCATTTCTGAATTTGTCCTGTTCTAGTACTCTTAGCCTCAGTTCAATTTTAATTTTTGACTCTTAACATTTTAGGACCCAAAATAACCCGACCGCCTATAAATGTGGAAATAATTGAAGGGTTAAAGGCTGTTCTTCCATGCACTACAATGGGGAATCCAAAACCTTCTGTTTCGTGGATCAAAGGAGAGACAGTTGTAAAGGTGAGTAGAGAATGAAATTTATATAATGCTAACTATTCACTAAAGGTACTGTGTTAAAATATTGGCATCAATTACAACATCTGTAAATTCTAGTTGCTAGGAAGCAAGCATTTGGAAAATCCAGGGCTCATCTCATAAATGTCTATATTTGCAATAACTCTGCCTATAAACCAAACATTTTCTGTGTATCTATATTTTATATTATATATATTTATTACTACTAAGCATGGCCAGATGCTGCTGAATGCACTGTGAGTGTTCTCATAAATAAGAGCTACTGAGACACTTAGCTAAGATTGAGGGCTCTTTTGCAGCTATAATTCACTGATCTGCAAAAAGAGGGATGGGTGAGCATGTCATGACAATGCTGAGCAGGAAGAGCTGGCCCCAAATCCTTCAGCTGTAGGACACCACAGATAACTTTTGTGCATGTAAGCTCAAACTTTGCAAATGGGTATTTGCTGCTGCTTGTGCGCAGCCTGAATGTAGAGCCCTCACCTCAATCCCTCCTTCCTCTGGCAGGAGAACGCTCGCATTGCTGTCCTTGATTCAGGGAATTTAAGGATCCACAACGTTCAGAGAGAAGATGCAGGACAATATCGATGTGTAGCCAAGAACAGCCTGGGCACAGCCTATTCAAAACCTGCAACAGTGGTAGTGGAAGGTGAGTAACTGGGCTCCAGCTCCATGTGCCAGCTCCTTGTGCATATCTGGTTAACTTGAATTTACCCGAAGTATCACATTAATGTCGACAAAAACATTCTAAGGGGTGGCCCAAAAGGCAGAAGAAGGGAAAGGAAAGCAGAGTGAGAAACTGAGAAAGTTTGTCCATGCTTGCTGCCACTGATGGCTGATGGTGAAAGGGATGATCTGTGGAGGGTACTTGTCCATGGCTGATGTGGCTCTGGTAGCATACTTGTCTGAGGAAGAACTCCCAAATATGTTTTTCCTCCTGAGTGATGGTTTCCAAGATACCAGCTTGTTCCTTGTTTGAAAAGTCCCACCAGACCTGTGGAGTTAAATAACTGTTTCACCATAATAAATGTTTCACTACTTTTCTCTTAAGACTGAAGTTAATTGCTCCACCGGTGTCAGTTATACACCATGGCTTATGGAGATGGAAAGTAGAAAGCTGATGGCCCTGGAAACTCACTGCAAAGAGCCTGGTCAGACAGAGCTGCAGCTGCAAACAGTGAAGCATTTTGCAGCATTATGTGTACGTTCTTCTCCCTTTCCTCTGATTTTCCATCTGAATTAGTTGATTCTTCAGGTAAACAGAGCTTTTCTCTTTGAGGATTTGAACATTTTCTGCCCGCTAAACCAAACACCGGATTGATTTTTTGGTTTCTGGTCTTTATGTGTTTGGTGTCTGCCTCTTATTTACAGAAGGTGTTTGCTTTGTGGTATAAATCATCACCAGTTTCAGAGTACTGAGACCAGTGGACTGCAGGGAAACCCAAATGTAGGCAATGAAATGTTCAATGTTCCTGAATCCTATAAGAGAAGTTGGGTTAAGCAAAGTTTTGTGGAGTAGGAGGAGCGATGACTGATTCAGTAGAAGAACTAATTTTTATGTCTTATTCAGAATGACAGTACTGTAGAAAGTGGAGAAGGGTCTCCACTTGCCTAGTGAGCTTCAAAAGATTCTTGTAGGTTACATTTGGTCTGGCACTATCAGAGGTTACTGAGGTTATCAGAGGGTGCAATCCCATTTCTAAGAGGACCATTGACTTTCTTCTGGGACCACAATCAGGAGTATTAGATCCAACTGAAAATTACTAGGTCTGTTGTTTCTCAAAAAAATGCATTCATTTCTCAGATTATTTCTTTTTTTTTTTTTTAATATTTACACGTACACATTTCAAGTATGTTAGAAATTCCTTAAATAACTTTGAAACAGGGAGAAAGCTGTTCCTAATCTAGATTCAGAGCTGCACTTCTGAGGTAAAAGCCATGAGGCAAACTGAAGACACTTGGATCTGGCTGTAAACAGCTTGGGTCCTGGGTTTTGGTTTGGCCTCATCTTTGAGACAGTGGCCAAAGGCTTGTCAAGCATTAAACGTGAATGGCAAACACTCGGTGCCATGCTTACAACCCAGCCCTCCATGATGAAGGGCCTCAGGCACTGGGATTTTATTGCTACGGACCTACCAGAGCCAGTTAGGGAATATAAAAGTGGGCTGAAACTGCACAAAAATCTGGACTGTTAAAGTTGATGTCTTGTTTTGTGCCTGTCTCCAGAATTATGCAGCTGTCTGCTAAGTCAAGGAATAGCAAAATAATCCACAAATATCCTACTAGCAAAGGAGAGCCTGTGTGTGCTCTTTTTAAAACGAGGAAGATCAGTTCTTAATTAATCAATGGGAGCTCAGTGCTCCCACACAAACTATCCCCTCATGTTCCATTCATGTGTTGGGTGAACAAAGCAATGCTGTTCTCCAGGCTGGCCTTGGTTTCTCTGGTAGGGCACCCATATAATGTACCTCGTTTCAGGCTGCCACCCAAACTAGACTAACACATGTTTGTTTTACTTTTTTGGCTTCCAAAATCCAAAAGTAATAATCTTGACTGCAGTTTACTGTATATACAGATCCTTTTCCCTCACAGTATTTTAAATTAATTCTTATGGATATTTAGCATACATATATATATGCACATACTTGTGTATGCACGCAGGTATGCATACATACATGAAGCCTCCTCACGCACCTCTTTTATCATTATTTTAGTATCCTTCCCCTTCTACCTTTCCTACTCCCTTAGTATCAGCCTTTTAAAATAACTCCAAGTAAATAATAATCTAAAATTACTCGATGCAGGTAAATCATGCTTCAGTCAGTCTTACTTGAGCATTTGCTATATTCAGAAAACTTATGAAAATATGCAGTTTGTTGCTTCTCTGTAATAACATTACAAAATCTGTCTTTAAATCTTGGTGCTACCATTCACTGCGTAGTGTGGCTTAATATTAAAATAAAATGACTAAGCATGGCTGGTTAACTATGAATATTTAATCCTGAGGCAAATGCCCATTCAAAGACCAGTGCAAATATTTATGCATAGCTAAATCTAGATCAGGTAGGTCCTGATTTCAGAAAGAGGTTTCTAATTTTCTGGTGAGAACTTCTACTTTAACAAGTTCAGTGTTAGTCCTGCAATTAGTTTCAGGTATTGTTCAAAGTGCAAACTTGTCTAACTTCTTGAAGGATTGGCCCTCTGCCTGCTGCATGTGGTCAGGGTCATTAACACATCTAAGGTCAGGCACATGCTTAAATGACTCGCTGAAGCTGGGCCTAGAAAATACAGCAAGTCTTAAATATGTAAAATTATCTATGCTGGATCCAATCATTCAAACGGATGATAATCTTAGCCCAAGCATTTACACCACTGAAGTGCCTTATAGTCCTACTTTGTGTCTGGTTTCAGCGGTCCAGGGTAAAACAGTTTGAAAAATGTTGCTATTTTGATTTTCCAAATATTTCTTCTTGTTGGCTTTTCTCACTGTTTATAATACTTGCCTCTATTTATTACTTTTAGAGCACAGCTTTGACATTTTTAAAACTTTATTAATTTTAGAGCAAAGTCAAAATAATTTGGGCAATGATTTTAGATGAATATTCAGGTGCAGTTCTTGTCAGGAAAAAGAAAGCGGTGGAGATCTTTCTTCATGGATCTGATTTTTCAGTTGTTCCTGATTTTCATCAGTGAATGGGAGGAAGGAGATAAGCATCCTCTGGGTGCTTCCCCCTGCATGGACTGGTCCCAAGCCAGCACAGCCTGCTTCCTCTCCCAGGGCGTGTTTCAGGCACCAGAGTTCAGGTGATGAACTAGTGAATTCTGATCAGTTAATCAGCTCTAGTGTCCAGAACTGGCTCAGGATTTTAATTAAAATGATTGAAAAAAGCCTGTCCTTTTGGACTGTGTTTTTCCCAAAGTTCAGGACAAACCCACATGAATTTGGACAGGTGATGGTGAAACAGATTCTATCCTTATAAGGCATAATCTGTCAGGGGTGGAAACAGGATCACAATGGACCTGACTGCCGGTCTGTGTGAAGAGCTGTGATCTTCATCAGGAACTGTGCTGAGCCCACAGACAGCACTGCCCTCCCTGAAAGGCTGCCCAGTGTGCCTGGAGGGTGTTAGGAAGAAAAGCAGAGGATGGGGCAGCCTTTTGATTTGACACAAGGGAGTGGGCACAGGAGGTGAGGGATGGGGAAGGGACACAAGAGGCAAGTGTTGGCCAAGAGAGCCAAGTGACCACGTGGGTAGGCAGCCCTCCCGCTGCAGGAGGACTGCACAGTAATTTTAAGATATTGCTGTGTCCCATAGCAATAAAACGACACATGCCTCTGCTTTATCTCTGAGGGGATACCTTGGAGGAGTAGGGTTGGTTCTTTCTGACATGTACTGGAGGTCACTACAAAGTGGTCCTCTACCAGTGCACTGGTTTCCAGCTGTGCTGAAGCTGCATAGGTGTATTGAGTCAACTTTTCCCCATTTGCTCCCTTTGTCAAATTAGCTACAGCCCACGCAACTTATGGAAAAAAGGACTAAGAGAAGTGCTGGCATGAAGCAGAAGCCCAATAGGTAGAAAAAAACCTTCTCCACACTGGTTTACAAGCAAAACAAATGATCAGTATGCTGGTTCTGTTAAAATTTGCATGTGGGGATAACTTCTTGTTACTCATATATGTCCAGAAATGGCTACAGGGGGTAACATGTGCATTTGCTTAAAGGACTAATATTATACTCTTGGCTTTTTGCCAAGAAATGCAGTTTTAATTTCCTGGAGGCAAGACTTCTGACCTCATTTTCCATCAACTTAAGCATTTTGCTAACTAGCTGTTTAATTACTACGTTATGATAATGACCACCTATGCTAACCCTAGAAGAGCAGAGCATTTATACACTCAGTGAAGCAGTACCTTGGCAAAGGATTTATACGAATTTCTTGTTGATTGCTGTACTGATGTCCAAAGTGAATCTGTGGCTGAAATGTTCCTCAATAAAACCAGGACTCCGGTAGAACAGAAGCATTTGATTGTTTACCTGATCTATAGTGCACACAGATTTCTGAAGGCTGAAGTTAATTGACAAGATGTTGGCTGAGATGGGTAAGATGTTCCATCCAGTTTTAACTGAAGATCAGTCCTTTGGAAATAAATATGAGAGCAGTTATTGCCTTCAGTAATATTGAATGTTGCCCTCAAGTGCAGAAATTCCCATTGATGTCAGTGAAAATTGGGGGCAGGGTATAGACTTCTGGCCTGTGCCAAGAACAGTTTTCTTGGCCCTTGTCTGAGCATCTGCAATCTGTAGGATTTGCATGATAGGCAGCATTAGTGAAACATTCATCTGTTTTTTCCTTCATGCATTGGACAGCTGTTTATGTAACACAGGCTGTAGAACAGGAGGAATTTTGGTTTTCATTGCTATTTGCAGTGACATTGATCCAATCCATTAATAGGACTAGTTTAGCAAAAGCAAGACCTCATCAGGTTCAGATTCTGGGCCTGCTGCCTAAAGCTGTGCACCCTCTGCGGTCTCCATGGCATGACATGTGTAACGAAGTTATTCTCCATAACCATTATGCATAAATTGTATGATATTGAAAGAATAAAGTTAAAGCCATGAGCCCTTGCCTGGTAAGAGGCATGGGAAT